AAGTTGAAGAAGTAGTACAGCCTTTTGACAGAACTATATCAGCTAAAGTCTGATCTGAAAAGAAAACTCAGTCTAATAAAGGCAGAAGGTTTTGAAATCTCTAGGCAAAGAGTAATTAGAACTAGCTAAATACTGAAGAAAGACTAGGTCAACTGACTAGTAGAGGACTATAGTAGAACCTGAGATTATATAAATATCTACAAGAGTCTAATCTAGATAAATTTGTAAAATAGATATAGACTAACTCACAGATGGATTACAGGTATAGCAGTATAGTGTAGAACTAATTGAGTAGTCTAATGCCTGTGCAGCAAACTACTTAAAATAGACTATGACTAAAGTTATACGTATAGCTTGTTATACACTCTTCATATAATTACAAACAGTAGAGATTATCAATGTATAATCTTGTTGACAACACTAATAAAATTTCTTCAGCAATGTAAACCATCTTAACAACAAAAAAAAAAAAATAATTATTATTTGTTAAATAAGTTATAAATAAAATTTATTATATTAAATTTAAGTTATAAATAATATATTTTATTTGTGTTTTATTATATTTTGAATGATTTGTCACTAAATAAAACCTATTGTAATATAAATTTAAGTTTAAAACAAAAAAAAAAATAACAATTTTAAAAGTTTTATAGCAATGTTTAAATTCTCTAAATTTCTATTATTACCAGAACTATTTTTATATTTAATATAATAATTATAAAGGTACATACATATGTATTAAACTAGAAGAAGTGCATTTGTCACCTCTCCGTTATGTGGTATTTTTGTTATGAGTTTGTGTATTATTTAAAAGATGATAATTTTTGTTTGATTTTTAGCCTTTATAAATATCTAAATTACCTTTCTTTTTAGGTAATATGCTGTTGTTGAAGGTCATCATTGTTGGAGTTATTAGTGCTGAAGTTATTGTTACTGGAATCGCTACTATTAGATTTTCATTAAATTCACCATTTTCAGCCATTTCGTAAGTTTTTTTTGTTGCTCTAGTTGGAAATTTTAATCCTGAATAGGATCAATCTGTAGAAGTTTATAACTCAGGTTATGACTATTGTTACCATTGAGTATAAAGATCCAGTAGTATTAAATCAGCAAATCATAAGCTAACTCTTTCAAATTGTTTTATTTAGCCAGTAGAATTAAAATCAGCAAAACTTGAACATAACTCTCTTCTGATAGTGGAATTAAAATCAGTAATTAAAATGAACCTAACTCTTTTCTGTCAGTGGAATTAAATTCAGCAGTTCATGAACCTAACTCTTAAACTGGTGGAATTACAGTTGTTTTTAAAAGGATGTACTACTTCTTCAACTTGGAATTTCTACCATACAGATCTTCTGTTCATATATCTTATCAAGATTTATTTGTATAATATTATACTATATTTTTAAGTTCTAATTAATTTGATGTAACTCAATTTACAAAAGTATACCTCCAGAAATAAACAGAGTTTACTGTAATGTATCACAAGATCTAGGAAATTATTCAAATTTATTGATAGTAGATTTGAACTCCAGACCTATTGCATGGTAGTTCAACTATCTAACTACTATACTAGGTCACCAGACTATACAAATAATAATTATTAAATACAATAATACATTATTTCTTTTATAAAGATACTTAGTTTTAGCTAAAATAACTTATTTGTTCTAGTTACTATATAGAGATGTATCTTTATAATTAGATAAATATCTTGACAAAGAACTCGTAAAAACTCAAGTAAGCTAGGAATTTTATTATATTTTAGTTTTTTGATCAAAAACTAATTAATAACCTCTGCTACTTATCAGTTTTAGCTTTGATGTCTAAATTGACAAAGCATGATCAGCTCAAAAAAAATATTAAAAAATAAACAATTGTTTTTTTTTTTTACTTTATACAAATGCCATCAGCTGAAACTTTTATTAGTATTGATAGTGAGTAAATGTTACATATTGTGAGAGTACAACTAGCTATATGTACAACTTTAGATTGTCTAATTTAAGTAATCTGCTCGAAGGTTCTACACTAGCTGCTATATCTGAAATCTATTTGAAGATTATCTATTTAAACTCTTTGGCCCTATGACACTTACTCGTATTCTATCCTTTTTTACCAAAGTTTGCCTAACCCTATGCTACTTCTCCTAGAAGACACCTGAGCTGACATTAGTCTATAAACTTTATAGTTCAGAGCCTAGACCCTATCACAAGGTGTCTCTTCACCAACTCCCTAACCAATAGGTACTGTGGTACCTAACTATACTACTCTATATTACAATCTAGGTTGCATAAACCCTTGTTCGATGTTTGTACAAACCTGGCTCCTACTGTAGCCTTCTACCAAGTTAGTCATCTATGCTTCCAGATATTACACGAAGTAGATTCTCCCAAATCTGTTACTTAGTATTGCCTGCTTTGCTGCTAGATATC